TGTTTTTTGCGTATAAAACAAAAACGAATAGATTTAATCAAAATATTTTTCCACATTATAGTTGGCCTTGACAAACTCCACATTTGGTGTCATTTAACCGACCTCGTATCTCTCACCGTTAAAAAGATACCCATGGTGAGCATGGTAAGTGGGACACACTGTATAGATAATTAATATTATTTTTGCTTGTAGAATTATTGTGGATTTCTCTCATCAATCGTAGTTGCTTGAGATATAATATACAGATATTCTCAGTAGACACTTGAAACTTGCATTCTTATCAATCACGTAGCATTAAAATCTCACGAAACTTCATTTGATATCATGTGAAATATCCATTTCGGAACTCACTTTGAGTATCTAAGTTCAGTCTCAGCATAATCAATTTCAGCAGTTTTATAAAGGAAAGAAGTATAGAGCATACTGAATTGTTTCCATATGAATTGTATCTTATCTTTTGTTTCTCACGTATAGTATATTATCGAAACTTTCGTCTATAAAATCATATGCCTTCAGATTCTTTCAGAGAAGCCATTTTTCAGTAAGTTAGTAAGCAACCATTCTTGATCCAATTACGCTAACTCAATTTTTGTACTGAGCACTCTTTGATTGTTTTGTGAAATCATCCTCGAAGTGAATAAACGTCTACTGAAAAGCTACCCACTAGTTATTTTGGTTCACCACATTTTTCAAAACCTTTCTATGTGATCACTGTGACCATTCACAGGACTCTTTTATTAATTCCCATGCAATAAAAGGGAAGATTACAACAATGTGTCAAAGGAAAATAAAAAATGTTTATTATGAAATATTAGTGAAGATGAACATTATGAATTCGGGAAAAAATAACCAAGTCCCTAAGGATGATGGGTCAAGTAGATTTTTTCAAAGTGTAAAAGATTCAACGCCTACTAAGAGCTTAGCGTCGCGACGCGTCGAAAATATGAATCGATTGCATTGACTTGCGAATCACGCGCACTAAACAGTAAGTACATGTTATTTTGTCTCTTTCGTGATTACTCGAACTCATTTATTTTGGGGGTATGAAATAGTGGATGCATAAATTTGAACCACAAGTGATCCTGCTAGGAAAATGGATTGCTTAGCAAGATTTTCACTCTGTTTGTAGCAAGAAAGTTCTCTTGAAGATTCTATGGAGCGAAAAAAGTCGATTCCATAATAATGGAATCGTGAACAGACACAACTGTTGTTTTTGGATCGAAAACTATCCTCGTTGGATTACAAAAAGAATTAATCAGCGAATTTTTAGCATCCAATTTTGTTCCACCATGATAAACGGATTCCTTATTGGCCCTAACTTTTACGAAGGCACTTTCAATGCAGATCGCTATCTAAGATTTCTTAGATCAACGATTTGTTGGAAGCAACTTCATCTCCAGTACATAGCTCCGCTTTCTCTTCCAGGGCTCCAATACCAGCCAGGCAAATCAGAAACGAACGAGGGAGAAATGTTGACAACATGAATATGGACTTGGCAACATTTCTCGAATGGGGATCCAATAGCTTGGTTGGTTTCAATACAAACAAAACACAAGCATGCCTTTTCTCTAGAAAAGCCGATCTCACTGTGCCCAACATAAGCTTGTCAGAAGTAACCATACCTTTGAAGACATCCATTTCGTAGCTTGGTATTACTATCGGCAATAATCTTTCTTGGGAAAATCACGTGAGATCAATTACTAAAAGTGCATCCCAAAAACTTGGTTTTCTGTTTCGGGCCAGGAGCTATTCCACTTCCAGTCAGATGCTATGATCTATAATGCACAGATCCGACCTGTCCTAAAATACTGTTCCCATATTTGGAGTGCAGCACCCAAACATACCCTGAAACTGTTGGATTCTGTCTAAAAAAGGGCAATTCGTCTCGTGGATGATGCCTCGCTCACAAACTAACTCACTTCTCTGGAACACCGTAGAAAAGTTGTAGATCTGGCTCTATTTTATAGATATTTTCATGGAAGATGCTCTTCTGAAATATCAACAATTGTTTCTCCCTTGGCAGTCCCCGCGAGATTAACCCGTCGAGTTGAGGCTTCACACCCCTTCGTGGTCACTTTAGAGACCTGCAGAACATCTCCTTTCAAAGACTCGTTCATCCAACGAACAGCAAGGCTGTGGAACACATTGCCAAGGGAGGTGTTCCCCGAGGCATATAACCTCCAGAAATTTAAGAAGAACACCAATTCCTACCTTAGTTCCCTTGGTTCTCAAGATGTTCTCTGAACATTACAGAATATCCCTTTTCTTGGGAACCAGAACATAAAAAAAACTAGACTTCCGGAACTATTAGAAGAAATTCCCTCTGAGCATTAGAATGATTAAAAGGCTACAGCAGGATGGAGTGCCCGCTCATAATGCCGAAATTGTAACGTGGTATTCAAACAGAGAATACCCCAAAGGATGGTTTGGCATTAAAGGACCAATAAAGTGGCCGGCGAACTCCCCGGACCTCACACTACCAGATTATTTTCTTTGGGGCCATCTGAAGGAAGTTGTCAATGAAGAACCAATCGAAGATATGGCTAATCTAATTGACAAAATTAGTGCAGCCTGTTGCCGCAATTACAAGAAGGACGTTTCTACAAGTGACCCAAGCTAATCTGCTCATAGTTTTTGATAGTTGTATTCAAGCAGATGGACAAAATGTTGAACAATATTTTCAATTTGTTTCATCATGAAGTATGTAATTAAAAATAAAAATCATTTTGATCATTAGTACAACCAGAAATGAATAGAATAAATGAAATTCTTGTGAAAATCATCCGTGAATGCATTTTTGTCAACCAAGAAACGTTTACTATAAACCGGTATAACTCAGAAATGAGTTAAATAAATAAGTTCGAATAAATGACAAAAAAGTTTATAAATAACATGCACTGTGGTGTGCGCGTAATTTCAAGGTCAATGCAATCGTTTTACATTCGGTCAGCTCTTTGTAGGCTATGGATTTTCCAACCTTCGATTGAAATCTACTTGGCCCTATCCTTCGACTACTTTTCACAGAAAATGAATATTTTTTTCTGTGACGGGAAAAAGTTTGGCATTTCATCTCTGTTGGCAGGTTATGATATATATCACATCTATATACACTGTTGATGGCTTTTGTTGTGCAATAGTTTCGAAAAATGAGTCAATAATACTGTCTCTGAGAAAGAACTACAAGTCCTTTTCTCTTCCATTCGACTTCGCGGTTACGTATATTACTAAACAACCACGAAATTCGCAATTTTTTGAAATCAAATCACAGAATTAGACTGACAGAAGTGACATCCGATATTTGATTACTTTAAAAGAATGATAAATATTCCTACAACGCAGGTGTCCCTACTGTTAAAAACTTTTCACGTCGATAATTTTCATATTTCAAAATAATGTAATATCTTCTCAATATTGATTCGTCCTTTCTTCTGTCACAGAAAAAAATAGTGTATTATACACTGGAAAAATATTAGATTTTAGCTCCCGCCGACCACACAACCTGGAGCTAAAATCTACAACTTTTTTCCCTTGTATAATGAATAACTATCTATTCTTTTTGCCTATGCAAAAACAAATAAACTATTGATGATCCAATTAGGCCTGCACGTTTGTGCTTGCTCTGCCTGCTGCTGAAATTGATTTTTTTCTATGACTCTCTCTGTTTACATTAGGCCATGAACAGAGACAACTATAGAAAAAATCAAGTTTAGCAATACAAACGAACAGGCCTATTAATTCTTCAATATTTGCACTACAAACAAAACATATTTGCTCAAAATGTTTTCACCAATTGATCATTAAATCATTTTATGGCCAACATTATAGAAGGCAGAATGAAGATGTATGAAAAACTTGTTCTTCATCATCGTGGCTGAAAAAAGTTGAAATGATATATCATTTTGCTTGGCTTCTCCAGGGTATTGTTTCTTTTTTTATGTGCTTTATGTTTCCACGAAAAAGGATATCCTCTGTAATGTTCAGAGAACATCGTGAGAACCAAGGGAACTAAGGTAGGAATTGGTGTTCTTCTTAAATTTCTGGAGGTTATATGCCTCGGGGAACACCTCCCTTGGCAATGTGTTCCACAGCCTTGCTGTTCGTTGGATGGACGAGTCTTTGGAAGGAGATGTTCTGCAGGTCTCTAAAGTGACCACGAAGGGGTGCGAAGCCTCAACTCGACGGGTTAATCTCGCGGGGACTGCCAAGGGATGAACAATTGTTGATATTTCAGAAGAGCGTCGTCCATGGAAATATCTATAAAATAGAGCCAGAACGCCAACTTTTCTACGGTGTTCCAGAGAAGTGAATGAGTTTGTGAGCGAGGCATCACCCACGAGATGAATGCCCTCTTTTGGACATAATCCAACAGTTTCAGGGTATGATGTTTGGGTGCTGCACTCCAAATATGTGAACAGTATTCAAGGACAGGTCGGATCTGTGCCTTATATAGATCATAAGCAGCTGACTGGAAGTGAAATAGCTCCTGGCCAGAAACAGAAAACCAAGTTTTTGGGGTGCACTTTCAGCAATTGATCTCACTTGATTTTTCCAAGAAAGATTATTGCTGATAGTAATACTAAGCATCGAAATCGATGTCTTTAAATGTATGGTTACTCCTGACAAGCTTATGTTGGGCACAGTGAGATCGGATTATCTAGAGAAAAGGCATGCTTGTGTTTTGTTCGCATTGAAATCTACCAAGTTGTGGGATCACCATTCGATAATTGTTGCCAAGTCCATATTATGTTGTCCACATTTCTCCCCTCGTTACGTTTCTGATTTGCCTGGCATCTGCCTGTATGAAGAACAACAACACAAAAAAAAATTTGAGTCGTTTCAAAGAACGTTTTCAGTTAGTTAACATTTTTTCATATCTCTTGAAATAGAAAAGTCGAAAGGTGGTTCAATCTTAAGAGGCTCACCCTGTACATACATACTAATTATTCGATGACTGAGTGGCTATACTTCTGTTACTGAATGAAGACTTGTTTTTTTTTTAGGTTCTCCTGAAAGACTCTACATCTGAACCTACAGTGATCATCTTTCCAGACGTATCCAGTAATACAATGTCCTTGATACTGGATTATATTTACACTGGAAGTGTCTTAGTTTATTCCAACAGCATCCAGGATTTTCTGAGTCTGGCGAAACTACTCAGCATACAACTGCATTTCGATAAAAGTGCTACGGTATTAGATAAAAAGGATATACGTCATACGACTAAGATTGAAGATGACGTCAAGAAGACAGAAACGATAGAAAATGCCGTTTCTTCCACAAGGTAAAGGAAAAACATTGCGCATTCCACAATTTTTCATAGTTTTTCAGTTATATAGAATTTTTGGAAAATGTATTTTTTCTACGTTATTAGAAATACAGCAAAACTAGAAATACTTCCATATAGCATATTTTGTTGAGATTTAAAGTGGTGATATTAATTTCTCTACGTGACGTTTCGAATTTGTTGAACCATCATCAACTCTTTCTTTTGAATACGGGCCTAATTATTCTTCTGATCTTTGGGTCTTTGGGAATACATTGAAAACTTATTTCACGCAGATAATTTCCATAACTGAAACGAACTAAGGGACAGTGTTATTGAATCATTCAATAGTATGACCTCAGAAATGCTCAGAAATGTCTTAGAAGCAACTTGAAGAAGAGGCTATCTTTGTTTAGAAAATGATTGTTATAATTTTGAACATTTGTTGTGAATGTTATTTTTCCAATTACTGTTCGTGTTGTCAAAGTGTTGTTATTCACGTAATTCGTGTAAGAATCCATTAACATGAAACAATATTTGAGGCCCTGCATTGAATAATTTATGAAATATTCTTTTTCACTTTTACTCCATCTATGTTTGCCACTGAATGATCAGAAATAAGTCGCACTGATGGCATTTCCTCTCTGAAATCTCGAATGAACATTGATGATGGCTAAAACTAGGTCGAAACCATTTCGAGAAACCACCTCAGGCTTTCAGAAAAAAGGATTCGTGAAAAAATAAAAAAATGCTATGGAATACAAGGACACTCAAATTTTTTCATTTCTGTAACAATTTTTTCAAACACTTGGTGTGTCATGACTGGAGAATTTCGATGTATTTTGAACAATGGATCATAAAGAGGATGAACCCAACTTTCAAGCACTGTTTTTTGATCAAAAATCTATTCATTATTCAAAAAATGATGGCAAATTCAAAATTAGGAAAAATTTGAGTGGTCCACTCGATTCTTAGAGCACTTCAGTCACGTCTTTATACTTTCCGATAATGGAGAGGCCCATTCATGGGATATTTTTCCGTTCAGAGACGACACCATCTACAGCAAAAGCAACCTCAAGAAGCTTCCCAAGCTCGTACCTTTGCGCAGCTTGAGGGGCAGAAAAGAAAGAAGATGGTGCAGCTACCTGTTGCCTAGCCCTTGGTGTCCCAGATCCGAAGGAGTGTACGGGGATCCCAGAAAAGTAGAGGGAGAAGAAAGGCGAGGTCACATGAGTGCCAAATCACCGGGAAATGATCCGAACAATAATAGCCAGTGTCCGGCCACTTATATTAGGTCCAATCACCCAGATGACTATTCCTTGGTGAGGGGTTCTGGTTTGGAGCCTTACAAAGTTACAAACTATCACAATGTGCCCTCGAACAGGGATTTATGTGAATTCAAAGATATTCCTCAACCGTTCAATGTGGATAATCTGAGCAAGTCGTCTGGTGTGTCGCGATGCAGAGATCGAATCGAAGATCCATCAGGATTTCCGGATCCTTCTGTTTGTACTGAAAAGGAAATTCCTGCTAGGAGGGATTTTGATGAAGAGACTATTGAAAGATCGAGGCTGAGTGTCGGTGAATTGACGGATCGCTGTTATGATAAGGAAGAGGGGGGAGATGACGTCACCGAGTTGGATAAGAAGTACGATAAGCAGAAACCTTTCAGATGCGAGGAGTGTGGGAAAGGTTTCAGCCAGCTGAGGAATTATAAATATCACAGGTACGTGTTTTTCTTGAGATCCCGATATTTCAGTTATAATATGTATGATGACGATGTACTGTATAGCCAGCCGACCTGCACGAAATATAACACATAATAGCGATGGAAGTATACAACTGTTTTTTCAGCGCTACCTATAGAACTTGTATGACAAGCTATTGGATTTCCCTTTTAGGTTCCCTGATTGAAAAATTTGTTAAACGCAGTGACATTTTGGGGCAAATCTTCTGATTTGTCCTAAAACAGTTACATTGAAATAATACCCATCTTTTTATTTCATAGAAACGGGGAGAGAAAGTTCCAAACAATCAAGTGAAATTAACTTTTGTTCGCTTCGCTCGCACGTTAAAATATCTCGATCATTAATCGCACTCATTAATAAACTATTTGGTTAAATAACCATTCTCTACTATCTTGATCTATAAATAACTATTTCCTTCCTGCAAAATCCTTCCTAGAATGTTTCTATTGCTTGAGCCCTGTTTTTTGAATGGATGATTATCAATATTCTGAAGAATCGAATTTCAGTACTAGAACCTGAGAATTGGAAAAGTTATTCACTACAATTATTCGAATTTTTGTATAATTTTTTGTAATATATAGGTACCGTCGTGTTTTATATCTGATGAAATATTCATCTAAAATTTTATTTCTAGTAGTAATTATCGACATTCAACTTCAGAAGTGAAATTTGATTATGGTAGGGAGGTATTTGGTGAAATCGATGCTAATTCACCCCACCTAGCCCCCCTTACAATTTTCTCCCAAACACCCCTTATGTTCTGATTCCAAAATTTCTTTGCCGTTGTTATTACGGACATTGGGACATTGTTATCTTTCCCCATTAGTCATTAGCTCTACTGACATGAAAGGTATTCATGAACATCTGCAAGTCTATTGATAGTATTGATACATTTATCACAAATCTTGCTTCGTTCAATCATTGTCGTTCTAGAGCCTACTAGGTTTCTATTTAGATCGACAAATGGTTCAATCATAAGTTATATGTAATTAATTTCATTCTCATTATCCTATCAATCTATATTTCGATATTTTTCGAGACGTTGAGCCAACGAATTGAAAGCGTTAATGTAAAAAATAATACTAGTCATCTTGATACAATCATTGGAGTTTACTTTCGATATAAATGGTTTTTATTCAGTAGTGAGAGTAGTGAGGTCAAAAAAAAAGCATTACATAACTGATATGTTCTCTTTCTAAGATGATTCATTTTAGATAATTCATTATTTTTGCATGAAACAGCTAATTGAAAAATGCTTTCTATTTTATATTATAATTTGAAAGGTATACAGAAGCATATAGAATCTCAATGTCTGAATGAACCACTATTTCTATCAATTGATTCATTTATACTTGTACATACAGGATGATTTACCATAAATGCGCCCCTTCCTCTGGCTCAGTTATTTTTGAACAATCCCAAAACTTGAAGAATTATTTGAAATGATTTTTGATAACTATCTTTTCGCAATTTCAAAAAATATAGGGTGCTCTGAACAAACGATCTACAGGGTACTAGTTGATTTTTTCAACCCTGTATTCCATTGCATTCTTAGATCACTCTTGAAATCTGGCAGAAATGATCACAGAGACGCTTTATTTTTTTCTCGTGAACCAGATTACCCACATGAAAAGTCAATTCTAATTTTTGCTTGTACCATGAAGAAAATCGGAAATATTCCTGAATAAAATGTGTCATGTTTTTATGAAGTTCATATCGAATAACTCGGAATAATTTATTTGGCACTTATCCCCTTATATACAGGCTGATTCACAGTGAATGATACATTGAACGTTCCTGGAGAACGCAACGTAGGATCATTTTGAAAATTTGGTTCCATGCATAATTAGTTCTATCGACCTAAAATATTCTTAGCGTTGCGACGTTGCCACTTGAAAAGTAGCATCAACTTTGATTTTTCAAATGGGACACCCTATATATTATTCCATTTTCAGATTCTTCCTGAAGAGCTGATTTCATCGATCTATTACACTTGGGGTCTAGCGGGAATGATAACAAAGATATAGGGTGTGAAAAATCGAGATTTTTCAACTTCAACAATTGTGTCAATGTCAACTTTTCATGTACTATCAATTGATATTTAATTGAGATAGATACAGATTTTGTGTTTTCTAACCCTCTCAGATACAGAGTGGTTGAAAATCTTAATTCTGAACCACCCTGTACCTATTTCAATTAAATAGCAATTGACAGTAAATAAAAAGTTGAGATAGGGACATGAGAAACCGTTTTGACCAATTATGAATAGTTTCGACACAAAAAAATCTTAAAGTTGCAAAATCTCGATTTTTCACACCCTATATCTCTGTAATTGTCACAGCTAGACCCCAAGTGTAATGAGTCAATGAAATCAGCTCTTCAGGAAAAATCTGAAGACGGAATAATATACAGGGTGTCCCGTTTAAAAAATCAAAGTTGTTGCTACATTTCAATATAAGCGACAACGTCGCAGCGCTGAGAATATTTTAGATCGATAGAGCACAACTAATTATCCAAGGCACCAAATTTTCGGAATAATCCCAAGTTACGTTCTATACAGGGTGGACCACCAGTAACGCCTCGGTCTCTAGAAGGCTAACCACTTATCTTCTTGGAATTCTTCCTCTCTAGGAAGTTGCATGTCAACATAGGCTACCATTTGAAATTATTTCAAAACATACAGGGTGTCCCCAAAAACCGCAAAATGCTAAAGTTGAACTTTTTTCAATCGAACACCCTATAAATTATTTCATTTTGAGATTCTCCCTGGTGAGCTGATTTCAACAATCCATTATTCTTGGGGTCTAGCAGTTATAATTACTGAGATATAGGGAGTGAGAAATCGAGATTTTCCAAGTTCAAGAATTTTTTGTGTCTAAACCATTCATAATTGGTCTAAACGGCTCACATGTCCCTATCTCAACTTTTGATCAACGATCTACTGACATTTAATTGAAACAAATACAGGGTGGTGCAGAATTCAGAATCTTGATCACCCGGTATATGTCCCAATTAAATATCAGTAGATAGTTAATCAAAAGTTGAGATAGGGACATGTAAGCCGTTTTGACCAATTATGAATAGTTTCGACACAAAAAATTCTTGAACTTGGAAAATCTCGATTTTTCACACCCTATATTTCAGTAATTATAACTGCTAGACCCCAAGTATGATGGGTCGTTGAAATCAGCTCATCAGGGAGAATCTCAAAATAAAATAATATATAGGGTGTTCGATAGAAAAAAGTTCAACTTCAGTGTTTTATGGTTTTTGGGGACACCCTGTATGTTTCGAAATAATTTTGAATGGTAGCCTATGTTGACATGCAACTTCCTAGAGAGGAAGAATTTCAAGAAGATAAGTGGTTAGTTCTAGAGACCAAGGCGTTACTGGTGGCCCACCCTGTAGAAACGTCTAATGTGCCTTCCACTGTGAATCAGCCTGCATAGATATAAGCTTCATATTTTTTTCTAATTAATGTTTGATAAACATTTTTGCTCGAAATACGTTCACTTCAAAGTATCAATAGGTCCGTTCACGAGGGTACCAAAGAGTTCGCCGCCAAATGTCCCGAATGCGGAAAGGTATTCAACGACAAAGGCTACCTGTCCAGCCACATGAAGATCCATCGAGATAAGAAAGAGTACGGCTGTCCGCACTGTCCGAAAAGGTTCAACCAAAGAGTGGCATATAATATGCACCTACGGATACACACTGGTGAGTTCCTGATACTTCATCGCGCATCAATTACCCGAGAATGAACTCTCACCTGATGTGTATTTGGGAACATATATCGTTAATGAATATTAGGAATAGAATTGGCCCGAGTATGGAGCCCTGAGGCACCCCTATACCAACTTGTACTCGGTCAGAACATGACTATTACGAAACTGGTTATCTCATACTCGTCTGACGATATGATGAACCACTAATTTTCCGCACTAGTTGTACAATATACTATCTGATTAGGTAAACTGCTCAACACATGGAACGTTAAATCGCATTTTTTCGATCAAATTTGAATCATCATAACTTTCGATTGCCTTAACCGATTTTCAATTATTTCTCAGTTTCCGAAAGCTCGTTTTATTGACTATCGAACCGATGGTTATCACTATTTCATCTTTTCTGGATGAGATTCTACAGGATGATAATCAAAGCTGTGCATTTTTCCAAAAATTTCAAATGCCTCCCGTCTGAAATAAAAATTTTTCTTATTTTTTTTGGGTCAAAAACATGTTGCTTCAGATGTTTCCTCGATACTGTGAAAATATTTTTGGAATTGTCACACGCGTTACTGAAATATGAATGTTCTATTAAGATAATGCATAATTTGATGCTCTAATTCCTATTGGCTTTGTGTTCCTGTCAATCTGGTTCGAATAGTGGTCAAAAATCTTGAAATGATGCATGATCAACCTATTCTTATATACAGAGTTGTCCTGAAACAACAATTATGGCATCAAGTAATGAAAAAAAACTTGTTTTGAGCAAGAAAATTTCGAAGTAGGAAACCGATTGAGAAGTTTCCTGGCGATCAAAGCGTGTAGGAGAGGTTGTCATCACCATGTCAAGTTGCTACAGAATCTATTGCAAGATCAAACCACTGGAATTGTTAGAAAAACCGGATTTTTAGAGCGTCATTCTCACTTTGTGATAGATTTCAAGAAGATAATTTCAAGGAAAATGAGATAGGCTGGAGAAATATACAGGATGTCGTTTAAAATGAATGCTGCCGAGACATACCATGCAACAGACAGAATTCATCACAATTGCAGTATCAAGATGTGATTTCATTTGCGGTGAACGTCTTCACATATGACTTATATTGAATATTTGTCGAAATTCAAAAGAATAGCAGACGTGAGTCACATAGATATGTAATGTCCTGACTCAGAAAAAAATATGACTTTTTCATATTGAATTCGATTACAGTCACAATGTTCCAGTTTTATGACTTTTCATCAATAACACCAGTTCAAATCATATCACTCTCACGTTTAATCAAATTTATCTTTGAAGTGAACATGAAAAGTATGAAAATTCAATAACACATGGATTCTCAACAAGCAGTTGAACCACCCTGTATATAAGAATAGGTTGATCGTGCATCATTTCAAGACACACAGGAAAACAAAGCCAATAGAAATTAGAGCATCAAATTATGCATTATCTTAATAAAACACTCATATTTCAGTAACGCGTGTGACAATTCCAAAAATGTTTTTACAGTATCGAGAAAACATATAAAGCAATATGTTTTGACCCAAAAAAAATTTTTTTAAATTTTTCTTCCAGACATGAGGCGTTTGAAATTTTTGGAAAAATGCACAGCTCTGATTATCATCCTGTAGAATCTCATCTGGAGAAGATGAAATAGTCATATCCATAGGTTCGATGGTCAATGAAACGAGCTTTCAGAAACTGAAAAATAATTGAAAATCGGTTGAGAAAATCGAAAGTTATGATGATTCAAATTTGATCTAAAAAATGCGATTTTACGTTTCATGTGTTGAGCAGTTTAGATAATTTTTTTGGGTACAGGTGTGAAACCGCACGAATGTTCCACATGCGGTAAAAGCTTCTCCAGAAAAATGCTGCTGAAACAACACCAGAGGGTCCACACAGGCGAACGGCCTTATTCGTGTCCGGAGTGCGGGAAAACGTTCGCAGATCGGTCGAATATGAGTCTACACGCCCGATTGCATACTGGTGAGTATACGGGCACTTTAAACAGGGTGATAACGAGATTAGGATAATGTCGAAACCGGTAACTTCTGATTGGGTCTAAGTGGAGTTTTGATCATTTTATAGATTCAAATACGTCACAATACACATTCTAGAGTTGAAAGAGTCAGTTTTCCGCACCAGTGTGGAAATAGTATATTGTGCAATGTGTGAGGAAAGTTCGAAAGTACTTTTACCCACATGGTGCCCACTATAATTTTGCTAGAACTGCACAAATTTGAAGAATACAAGTACTGTAACTTATCAGTGTTCATTTTATAATGTGGCATTCCGTAACATTGAATGAGACTTTTCTTCTGGAAGTTTACCGTAAAAGATACTATTTGTGTATGTATTCTACATTCTATAAATTTTTCTAATGTCAATTCATACTTCTTCAAACTTCTCTCAGCTATCTCTGGTGGTGTATTATATCAAAATCTTCACTCCCAGTATAATCATATTATTTATTATGAACTGTTGTGATAACATATTTATTGGAAATTACGATTTCTATAAAAAACACTAGTGAAAACTACCCTCAGTATTTAAAAAACTTCTGCTGACAGTTGTAACAACTATTCAAAGCTGAACAGCAGCCAACTCAGTTTTGGTCGATTTTTGTTTATTCTGCTTGGAATGTACGTGGTGTTTGCCGTTAGACAAAATATTTTTTCTACAAACCTCAAAAAATTACAATGTTTGCGCATTGACAACAATTTGCGAAATGACTGTTTCTATATCATATAAATTATCATGTCATTATAGATGATCTTAGCACCTTAAAATCCACCGAAAAATTCGGGGAAAATATGAAATTGAATGGTAATCGAGTGATGATTCTATTTAAGGGATAAAAAAATCAGTCAACTCGCTTGTGAAGTCTGATATGTCATAAGATTCAGAATTAGAATTAGAATTTTTCAGGAAACATTTCTTTACGACTATTCAGAACAAAACCGACTTTGTATCTGTTATAGTCCAATAAATAAAGGGAAAAAGTTAACATTAATTACGCACTATTTTCATCTTCCGGTTGGAAGTAGCTTTTGATACCTCATTAAACATGAGACAAAGTTTGACTGGAAAACGCGTGCGATGGCGGAGAAAATTGCCCCAAAAGACCAGAAAAATAGGTTTTCAGCCAATATCTCCTAAAATATGGCAGTTAGAGATTTTCGGTTCAGATGACAATTGAAGTTCAGTTAATTTTCTATAAAAATGGCCCCTATCATTTTTCTCAAAAATTTGCCCGGTTTCGAGAAAAACGGCACGAAGCGCACCTCGAATAGTGAGCTTCTGTTGTATGCCGGAGAGCACAGTCCTTGTATTTACACATCGGCGGGGGGACAAATTATTCAATAACTTTGTCAAGAATGCATATTTTCTCATGATTCGAAGTTCATGTGAAAGAGGAATTCTGCTGCTATCATACCCTGTGAATTGAGTCACGCTTGACTCTTTTGGCCATATCGGAACATGGGTCAAACTTTCTGCTCCCGGTCAATTTTGACCTCGCCAGGAATTTGTTCCTATTTTTTTTGTATTGCACTAATTTACTCAAAATTTTCCTGATTATGGGTCCTCATAAGGTCCTTTGTCATCCCTGAAATTTGTATACCCTAATTTTTTTTAATTTTCATTCAATCTTTGTTTATTGAATCCCAATTTTTTGCTGTTTTTGGAGCGCGGGGAAATTTTGTGAACAACCATCAATTAAAAATTTATGCATGATCTGATTGGTTTCTATGATACATTATTTGAAAGCTAAGAAGATCTACTTTTCGATTGTGCAATTACTTTTTTAGACGAAGTCGTCCATTTTTCAATGAAATTAGAAAAAGCGGAGTCAAGGAAAAAACGCACTTTTTTTTTCGTTTTTTTTTTCTCCGTGCTCTTTATTTCTAACATTTTAACACCTCAACTAGTGTAACGGAGGAATTCCTACCTTTCCATCGATGTATATAAGTCATACCTTTGATATCTCGGGAAAAAAACAGTATATCTAAATGTGCACGCTATAATTTATTACTTTCGTTCGTCCGTCGTTCGCCGCGTGTGTGCTCTACGTGGCGCTCGGGTCGTCTGCTAGAAACCATGCGGCCACGCAGGGTATGATAGCAGCAGAATTTATTTTTCACATGAACTTTGAATCATGAGAAAATATGCATTTTTAACAAACTTATTGAATAATTTGTCCCCCCGCCGATGTGTAAATATACGGACTGTGCTCTCCGGCATACAACACAGAAGCTCATTATTCGAGGTGCGCTTCGTGCCGTTTTTTCTCGAAACCGGGCAAATTTTCGAGAAAAATGATGAGGACCATTTTTGTAGAAAATTAACTGAACTTCAATTTCTATCTGAACCGAAAATCTCTAACTGCCATATTTTAGGAGATATTGGCTGACAACTTATTTTCCTGGTCTTTTGGGGCCGTTTTCTCAGCCATCGCACGCGTTTTCCAGTCAAACTTTGTCTCATGTTTAATGAGGTACCAAAAGCTACTTCCAACCGGAAGATGAAAATAGTGCGTAATTAACGTTAACTTTGCCTTTTTTTCCTCCTTCATTTATTGGACTATTATGCTTACCGAGGTACCAATGATACACCTCGAATTTGAGGAACCCTGTACACCTGGAATGAATTATTGCCTATTGCAGGCGTAAAGCCCTATGGCTGCTCACTTTGCCCGAAAACTTTCACCAAAAAGCACCACTTGAAGACTCACATGAACTTCCACACCGGCCTCAAACCGTACGAGTGCCCAAAGTGCGGCCTGTCCTTCTCACAGAGCAGCAACATGAGGACGCACCACAAAAAGTGCGCCGGAAAGAGCCTTAACAGAGACGAAATGGTCGACGGTGGTCGAGGCGACGCGAATCTGGTAGGTCAGGCGGCCGTTTGATGGGAACATTGTTGATTCTCTCGGAAATTGATCTGTTGTATTGGCCATTTTCATTCAGAACACTCTGTCATGTACAACAAATTTTACGGGTATCTATATATATTATCGAATATAATATGATTATATGAAATCATTATTATAATGATCAAATGAATGAATAAATTGACAGGACCGGAACGAATTTCAAGGTGATTAAATATAATCAGAAAAAAGCTTACATATACAGTGCGTCCCACTTACCATGCTCACCATGGGTATCTTTTTAACGGTGAGAGATACGAGGTCGGTTAAATGACACCAAATGTGGAGTTTGTCAAGGCCAACTATAATGTGAAAAAATATTTTGATAAAATCTATTCGTTTTTGTTTTATACGCAAAAAACAGATTTCGATCATTTTCATGTCTCCTCCGTAACTTCTTCATTTATGAAAATATTCTAATAGGAATTTCACATTCCTATGGCAGTTTTTCGAAGTGATTTCGAAAAAAATATGAAATTCATACCAACTCTTCTAGAATTCGAGATATCAGCACCAACTTTAGTTTTTCAAATGAAGGTCATAGCTCACGATGACTTAGTTACAAATAACTTTTTTTTCTCTTACAGATGATATGTCGCAATAGTAGTTTTGTGTTGATAACAACGGAGTTATCGTCATTTATACAAAAACAAAAAATTATTTGGAAGCCGCCATCTTGAATTTATAAATTTTAACAAAAAAATCATGATCTCCGACGTCAAAAACCCCCACTTACCAATTTTGAATGGAATCGGACCAAATCTTGTCCGCCATCTTGGAGCAGCCATTTTTTCATAATTTCAGCGAAAATTCCATGACTTCGATTAACTTGAAATTTGGCAGGTGCTCATAATTTCGGTGATAATTCATTATGGAATTTTTGTTGGAATTAAAAAAAAGGGTTGCTTCAAGATGGCGGACAAGATTTGGTCCGATTCCATTCAAAATTGGTAAGTGGGGGTTTTCGAGGTCGGAGATCATGATTTTTTTGTTAAAATTGATGAATTCAAGATGGCGGCTTCCAAATAATTATTTGTTTTTATATAAATGACGATAACTCCGTTGTTATCAACACAAAACTATTACTGCGACATATCATCTGTAAAAAAAAAAGAGTTATTTGTAACTTATTCATGGTGAGCTATGACCTACATTTGAAAAACTAAAGTTGTTGCTGATATCTCAAATATTAGAAGAGTAGGTATAAATTTCATATTTTTTTCGAAATCATTTCGAAAAACTGCCATGAGAATGTGAAATTCCTATTTGAATATTTTCATAAATGAAGAAGTTACGAAGGAGACATGAAAATGATCAAAATCTGTATTTTGCCTATAAAACAAAAACGAATAGATTTTATCGAAATATTTTTTCACATTATAGTTGGCCTTGACGAACTCCACATTTGGTGTCATTTAACCGACCTCGTATCTCTCACCGTTAAAAAGATACCCATGGTGAGCATGGTAAGTGGGACACACTGTATAGCAATAATTGTAAGATTATAGTATTTTTCTTCTGTGATATTCTTTTATAAATAGTTACGAATGTCTTTATACAAATAAGTATTCTCTTGAATTTTTTGTAATTATGACATCTTCAACTTCAATCTCATCTAAAATTGTATATATACAGGGTGACATAAAACACAGAAAGGTCCGAGCCATAACGCCATTATTTTGTAAAATTCAAATTACTCCAATTTCCAATGTCATCAATTGAAAAATTGATAGTCACAAACGTTGAAGTTAGTGTTGGTATGAAATTTTTGAAGTCACTTTTTAGTTCATCTGAATCGAGAAAAAAATAACGGCGTTATGGCCTATGACCTTGGCATGAAGACGACATCCTATAAACCGTATAGTTGAATTTTGATTTTTTATTGTATTTTTTAATATAATCTATTGTTTTTATGTGTATTATGTTACCTAGTGTTTTTTTTTTCATTTTCCTCCCTTGAAAAACCCACTCTCGAATTCATTGAAATTTTTTTGAAATTTCTACTTTGGAATAATATTTTTATACGAACGTCAAAACTGACGAGGTCATTAGTTACAAATTGCGAATTGATATTTTTTCAGATTCCTACATAACCACGACACCATGTGCAAAATTCACGCATTGTATGTGGACTATGAGATTTTTATATTCTTAAACTATATTTTTATATCAAAAGGTAAGCATATCCCAAAAACTTGGTTTTCTCTTTCGGGCCAGGAGCTATTTAACTTCCAGTCAGCTGCTTTTTATCTATAAGGCACAGATCCGACCTGTCCTGGAATATTGTTCCCATATTTGGAGTGCAGCACCCAAACATACCCTGAAACTGTTGGATTCTATCCAAAATAGGGCAATTCGTCTCTTGGGTGATGCCTCGCTCACAAACTCACTCACTTCTCTGGACCACCATAGAAAAGTTGGCGATCTGGCTCTATTTCATAGATATTTTCATGGACGATGCTCTTCTGAAATATCAACAATTGTACGTCCCTTGGCAGTCCCCGCGAAATTAACTCGTCGAGTTGAGGCTTCGCACCCCTTCGTGGTCACTTTGGAGACCTGCAGACCATCTCCTTCCAACGAACAGGGGGGTCTGGAACACATTGCCAAGGAAGGTGTTCCCCGAGGCATATAACTTCCAGAAATTTAAGAAGAACACCAATTCCTACCTTATTTTCCTTGGTTCTCACGATGTTCTCTGAACATTACAGGATATCCCTTTTCGTGAGAACCAGAACATGAAAATAATATACAGTGTGTTCATTTAAGTGTGCAACATATGGGAATCTTTTAAATGTATTGCACAACCAAAATACAGATAGTGCCGAAAGTTGGTGCATGTTCGATATCCATTTTAGGTGCACTTGGAACGGTTCCAAGTCACACAGCATACAGGGTAGGTCAAAAAATATTAAAATTGCTCTAGAGTAAAGTACCCTTATTTCAGAAAATTCAGGAAAATGTTAGTGGGAAAAGTTGTTCAAAATTGAAAATTATTTCCAAATACCAAAAAATGGCCTCCCAAGACATTTTTTAGTTTTTCAATTTTGTTTGTTAATAATTTTCCAATTTGTAATATTTTAAATACAAAATATTCACATCAAATGGGAGTTTTTGAATATGCATATTATCATTAATGATGTTTCACCTTGTAAAAAATATGGTTTGCGAAATTTTAAAGTTAAGCTGAATATCGTTACAACAAACATAAAGTTTGTGATTCCCTAAAAAAAATAAAATCCAAGTTAATTGCACGAATATGCTTGAATTTGAACAAAGGTATGCTCAACTGATTCTGTTATTATTAACTTATGAACGTATTCAGGGCGAATGTAAAAAAAATTACAAATTGGGAAATGTCTAAGGATGCCATGTTCTGATATTTAGGCATAACTTTCAATTGTGAACAACTTTTCTCAATAACATTCTGCTGAATTTTCTGAAATAAGGGTACTTTACTCTTGAGCAATTTTTATATTCTTTGACCTACCCTGTATGCTGTGTGACTTGCAACCATATTAAGTGCTAAAATGATAACCGAACATGCACCAACTTTCGACACTATATGTATTTTGCTTGTGCAATTCATTAAAAAGATTCCCATATGTTGCACACTAAAATGACAACACTGTATACTTCAAAACTATATTTTTCGAAATTTTTTTCTATGTAATGGTTCTCCTAGTACAAATCGTCTAGAATTCATTCAAAAGTCACTAGTGTTGTTCTCTTTAGGTTGAAGCATAAATAGTTCGCGATACACCAGTTTTCATTTTTTTGAACATCTGTTTTGACTCATGTTAGATAGCTACGTTATTCTTTCATTGCTCCATATAATAGTGGTATCATCTGCAAATACATTGAATCGCCCTTCTATGTTAATGAATATCAATTCATTTTAATAAAAAAAAAACAACAATGGCCCTAGAACAGATCCCTGAGGTACTGAGGTCTGTCATTCCTCTTGATGTTTTCACAACTTGGCAACGTCCTGACAGATACGAGCCGAACCAGGTCGAATTTTGATTTTGACTTTGTTTTTTGTCTGTCAATATTCGTGCCAAACGATGCTCCTAATTTTTGTTCGGTAGTGTACTTACAACCTATGCGAGGAAGTAAATGCATGAAATTGAGCATGAAGCCGATAATTTCTCTTTAATTTGATAAGGATCCCCCTTCACAATGAATAGTCCATGTAACTGCCTGCAAGAATATTAACAGAACATTGTATGTAGTATGTACAGGGTGTCTCACTCAAATATGTCACCCTCCTTTATCGTTCATTTTTTTTTTTCGCCGAGGTGGTTGAAATCTTTTATAGACATCATATGGGTCCAATCCCCCATATGATAGTGTGGGAGTCCCCTCCATGGTATACCCACTAAACACTCCACCCCGTTGTAGGCTCCGACGACACTTAGGCCTAGTGGCCGGCCCATTGTATCTCACCTACATGCCGTTATCAATTTTACCACATACGACTCATGGTGCCTATTAAGGGCCACTTCAATATGAAAGACCCTTCTCGTTCAGGTCCCTGAATATTGCTATTCCGATCCCTGTTCTCGTCTACGAAGAAGGCCAAAAGCTTTCCTTCTCCTACGAGTCACGGGGGAAGGGGTTGGTCCAGCCCTGTGGTGCCACCTGCACAGGGCTAAGGCTGTTTACTCTGGGATGTCGCCCTGTTTCCCAGAGGCCTCGTTAGCGACACCATTCCTCGGTGCCATCCATCCATCGCCACGGGTTCCCACAGCTTGGATTAGGTTGCCAGAGCCTCGTTGACCAGTCCTCGACCACCTAGACAAACATCAGCAAATCGCCCCATCCCTGCCACAGATGTCCACAAATTGTCCCATCTGGCAGAAGATAGCAAAGATGGTCCCAAAATGCTTCATCAGTCAAGCGGCCGCGGCCTGCCTTCCCCACACCACTTGATGGTGAGGTTGGGCTTGCAGGGGAAGAGGAAAAGAGAAGTTGGCCAAGAAAGGCCGATAGAAAGATTGAAAACGGAAGAGAGAAGAGGATATCACCCAAGACAAGTTGAAGTATGGTGAATATCCGGCTAGGGTACCTCTCGGGTTCACCATTCCCGTACTCACAAGTTGTGAGCCCCTGAGGGGATTGCCAGAGCCTCGTTATCAATCCGCGGCCACATAAGCAGATGTTCACAAATTGCCCCATCCTCGCACTCAGATGTCCACAAAACTGTCCCATCTGAGTGATGACAGCAAAGATGTTCCCAAAATGCTCAATCCGCCGAGCAGCCACGGCTTGTCCTCCCCGCACTATGGTGAGGTTGGGCTTTAGGGGAGAAGGAAAAGAGGAGAAGTGAAGAGGATACCATCAAAGACAAGTTGATGATTAATGAGTATCCGGCTATGGTACCTCGGGATTGCCATTCCCGTACTCACAAGTCGTGAGCCCCTGAGGGACTTTATCATCGTTGTTCTCAACATATTTTGGTAATTGAAAAACTTTCATGGAATAATTATCAAACAATTTCTTGATTATTTTCATTATAAACACAATACAGAAGGTGGCTAAGAGCACAGCTAAGCACATTTTCATTATCAAATTCTTGTTTTTCAGACAAAAATACGTACTTGAGTACAAAAATAAATTTCCTAATAAAACCCATCGCATGATAAATCCAGTTTTCCAAAAAATACGAGGACTTACCCTGTATACTTTTGCAAGTTATGGGTCTGTTCTGGGCGTCTGATGGATATAAATTCATACCAGTGACCGTAACTATCGCGTTCTAAATCTCCCTCAGTACACTGGATATTAATGTTATTACGTGTTTATGGAGTGTTGAAAAACCGTCGTACAAAACTAAATCAAAATGAAAGATCATGCAGAATACTATGTCTGAGATGATTGAACTTTGTTCCTGATAGTTGTTTATTTTCATCTTTTGATGCGTACGAAAGGAAAACCCTATTCAGTGTGTCTCACTTCTAATGGAAACACCCCTGTATCTTTGAAAATTGTTGAGTTAGGATTCTGAAATTTTCAGGAGCGAGAG